GGCACTGGCCTTTTTGCAGGCAGGGCGGTGACATAAGCCAATTTGGGTTTGTTTTGCTAACACAGCAAGAAAAAACCAGCTATTTCTGTGTAGCAGACCAGCCCATCTGCCTGGGCAGCAGCTCTAGGCTCCCCCTCCTGCCCCACTTTGCTGGAGTGGGATAGGGGCTTTCACAGTTCTCACAGCCCCACAGCACCCTTGCACAGAGGGGAGAGGATGGACCCGGAAGGGCTTGACCCGGGGGCCTGTGACACCCTGGTCCAGCATTGTCCCAGCACTCTCACAACTGCGGATCCTGCAACATCCCCCTCCCTGGCCGTGTTTCAACCATACTTGTGCAAGTCAAAGGCCCTCTCAGCCAAGACTATTTGTCGTAAAATATGCACCACACAACCCAGCATGGAACTCTAATTTGACAAGAAAATTATAGGATGGCTTAAAACAAGCCTGGCAGAAGCTGGAGGGAGCTGCCAGGCGCGTGATCCCATCAAAAGGCCTGCAGAGCTCTCGGTGTGCCCTGCAAAAGGGGCTGGATGGCTCTCCCCCACTCCCCTTCCATCACCTCCGGATTTGCACACGGCTAATCCCATTACCAGACAGACAGGAAAACAACGGCACGAAGGCGGCTGTCGGGGCAAATTACACCCGAAGGAAAACCTCTGGGATGCATCTTCATAAGGCTGACAGGAGACCACTGGCTGGGAGAAATTGTGAGCAAGACAGCAGCAGGAAAGGCCTTGCGGGGGTGGGGGGCTTGGGGAAGGGGCTTGGAAAGGGGCACACTGTGGGTTTGTGGCGCACCCACCAGCACACTGCCACTGGTGCTGTAATACCCCAAATGGTTTGAGCCTGTCAAATATGCTCATGCCACGGCAAAATCCGTGCTCAGTGCCCTTGGGGACACAGTGCAGAGCTGTCCTGCCTCGGGCACAGGCAGTCACATGGCTGCTTCCAGCTGAAACTGTAAAACCGCTTCCAGGCCAGTTCAGGCAGCTGGCTGCCCCCACAGCCCCTTGTCAGGTCAGCTTTCACCCTCAGAGGCAGGGTGTGAGTTATCATCACCGGGTTAATGTTACACTGCCCGAGCAATAACACAGAGCCCGGGCCAGCTCCCCGCTCAGTGCGGATGGAGCACACAGGGCTGCTCGTGTGGGGACAACAGGGACATGGTGCGGCTTCCATCCGTGGGACAAAAGGCTGTGGCATGCCTTGTCCACCTTTCCAACCCTGCCAAGATGTGGAAAATCTCCTCCAATTCCACCCAGGCTCCCCCAGTCTCCCTGAGTACAATCTGGCCAAAGTCTCTGCTGCCATCTGCTATTTTCTGCAAGTTTCCATTAGTGGCAGCCCAAGGAAACCTCCTGGCTAAATCCTGCTGGGGGAGGATTTGGTACATTTTCCTGGCATGGCGTGGCTGTTTCTATTGTGGTTATCAAATGGGGCCAGGATTGTAAAGGAAGCAAAGTCTGTTGCTTTGGAAAGCTGCCCAGTGTCCAGGAGGGGTTGCCTTGGCCTGCACATGGGTGCTGGGGCTGGCAGGGACTGTGGACACTAGTCAGGGGCTACTTGCAGGAGATCTGTGCCAGGGATCACCTCCCCAGCCTCCTTGGCAGCACCATTTGCCCTGGGCTGGCTCCAGGCTGTTGACGCCACACCTTTTAATCCTGGTTAAAAATTCACTGGAGGTGAGGCAAAGGGGTGCAGAAATGTTTGCTCTCTCTGGGAGTGCGCAGCTCAGTGTGGTCATGCCGTGGCAGCGGAGCAGGAAGGTAAAAAGGATGTGACTACTGTGCTCTGACATCCCCAGGTAGGACAGAGGGCCAGGGCAGAGCAGGAGAGAGGAGGAGTCACACGTATGCAAGGCCATTAGCAGCCTGCACTCCTCCATCCCTCAGCACAGGTATTCCTCCCACAGCAGTCTGCCCCAGGCCAATCCAGGAGCCCTTTGAGCTCCTGGGGATGGTTCCCAGCTGCTCACCCTATCTGAAAACCTAAAGGCTGATGCAGAGCTCTGCCTGCATCCTGGGGTGTTCCCCACTGGTGAGGGGGAGCCAGCACCATCCTCACCAGTGTCACAGCCAGAGCCTGCACCAGCAGCTCTCCCTGAATGACACTCCAGGGCACTGCACTGGAAGGGAGATTTACAGCCCAAGTGCTTCTCCTCTGCTTGGTTTTGTGCCATTCCTTCTTCTTCATCCCTGCCTGCCCTCCTACACCCTCTCCAGTATTTACACCCAGTTCTTTAACCTCCCACTGGGACCTGGCCAAAGCTCAGCCAGGCCAGGAGAGCCCCTCTGCTGACTCCAGGGAGTAGCTGAGCCGGCTCTTGGTCTGTGTGGAAACCAGCTGTGCTTACTGGGTCACTTTCAATATCCCATCTTAAATCACATCTTCCAGCACTTCATCTCTTTTGGCTCCTGTTTAGTGACTTCCCAGCAAATGCTTTAAATCTGTCTTGTTTCCCTGCCCAGCTGGCCCCCAGTGTCCCAGAGCCATCCTGTCCTGCCATCTCCCTACATTTCATTTCAGGACCCCTCCACACCATGATGGTTGCAACTCCCTTCCCTGCATGGACTGGCTCAGATGTACCCAGGGCTGCCCTCATCATTCCTACCCCTACCAGCTCCTTTCCTGGTGTTTCCCATGTATGTGGGCAGCGTGCTGTGCCTCTCTAGGAGCAGCCTTTGTGCACTCTCCATGCCTTTTCTGGGCTGTGAAGGACGGCACAAGCTGTGCAGCCCCGTTTCTGCTGGCACAGGCACCCTCAGCCTTGTGTTGAGAAGCACCACTAGGTGACAATCCTGGTCCTCCCGCAGTCTGGGGACACTCAGGCTGGCACCCATCACCCAGACTGCACTCAGAATAGTTTGACCAGCTGGTGGGTTCTCTGCTGAGCTCTGTTGGCTTCCAGGTTTCCTGGGAGCCAGCAAGTGAAATGTCCCAGGACAAATTCACAGGGCTTGGGGGATTTCCAAGCAAAGCTGCATCCACTTTGTTCTCTATTTTCATCTGTACCCTGGAGAACTTGTCTGTAATCACCAGGGCCCTCCGACTTTTTTATCCCAACAGCAAGTCCAAGCTGAAAAAAACCTAAAATATTTGACATCCCTGAGGGGAAGGATGTTTTCCAAGCCTCAAGTAGAGGAGCACTTTCAGTTCACATAGGCCTCCCAAAAATAAATACAAAAATGCACCAAGGATTAGAGGCCAGAGCTGCTTTCCCTGCTTGAGCAAGGTGCCACTCTGCTGTGTCTATGCCCTGGTCCCCACACTGGGCCATGAGCACAGGGACAGCCCCGGCCCCTCAGCACACACAGATAATCCCACATAAGACCCCAAAGCCCTGCCAGAGCCTTCAGGTTCCTGCTCTTAACACCCATCCTGTACGTGGGGACCTGGTCCCCAGCCTGCTGTACCTGGAAACACTTTGTGTGACAAGAGGCACCCAGTCCCTCCACCTACCTGGGGGTGGGGGGACATTGCCCCCCCAGAGCCTGAGCAGCCAGGTTGTGCCCCTTGGCATAGCAGGACACTGTGATATTTGCAGGCTTCCCAGCACTCCCTTGTGCAGCAGAGCTGAATTTTGCCTATTTTTGATTTCATTGCATTCCTTCATCAAAACTCTCATGGGGAAATGAAAATGTAAGGATTAAAAAAAAAAAAAAAAAAAAAGATAAAGGAATCGGGGGGGAAAGGCAACCCATGGTGGGATCCTGCTGGCATGCTGAGCCTGGCTGGTGCACAGCATGGGGCCAGGTAGGTGCTGGGGAGGAGAATCAGCCTGTGCAGGCCATCAGGGGAGCTCCCTGCTGCAGGGATTGCCACAGGCTAGCAGAGAGGCTGTATGAAGCTCGTTAATTAATGATGGGAAATAAGAGTTGCAAGGGGAGATGGATTCGTGCCGAGGGCATTGCTGGCAGCTCTACTGGGCCCCGGGTGAGCGATGGGCACCCCCACCTCAGCACCGCTGCTGCTGCACGGGGCAAACTTGGCAAATTCTGGCTGAGAGGGCCCAGCTGTGGGTCAGGGAAGGGGCTGCAGAGCAACACCGCTCTGATTTACACCGCAGCCCTGTCCCTAAAGCCTTCCATCAAGTCTCTATGGAAACCCCACCAAAACATAACACAGTGAGCCCGTTCCAGAGCCGGGAGCTGCGCTGCCGGGCCCTCTGTGCCTGGGAAAAGGCTTCGTGCAGCTGGGATTGCTGCCAGGAGGGAAAAGCCGCTGCTCCCTGCTCGCCCCTTCCCGCAGCTGTGCCCGCTGCATTTCCCAGCTGTGCCCTGGCTGTGGCTGGCAACCAACCCCTTCTGCGTGGCAACGGAGCAGCTCCGGGGCTGGGGCTGTGTTCAACCATCGCGGGGGCCACCAGGGCTGTCTTCCCCAGCAGACAGGGCCACCGGGATGCCTGGGTCCCGAGGGGGGCACAGCCAGCCCAACGGGGTTCTTGCAAGAACGTGACAGAAGGGACGAGCCCGAGCAGCAGTTCCCAGAACCGGTGTTTGGCTTGGCAGCCCGAAGCTCCGTGCCTCACCCTCCAGACGCCCGGCTCCGAGGGGGAATAGCTGGATGTCTAAAAGCAGGCCTGGCAGCAGGGCTGTGATCTGCCTGGGGACAGGGCAGCCCCCAGGGGCCAGCCAATGCCCCCACACTGCATTCCTGCCCTGCTGCTGCCAGGCTGAGCTTTCCCGGTGGCAGCCCCACTCGGGCACTCTGCTGCTCAGAAGCCCGGGCTGGGGGGAACAATGGCAGCTGCTCTTTAACTTCTTTCCCCCGGTCTCCCACTCCCCAAAGCTGGGAAGGACCCATCCCATCCCATCCCATCTGCAGGGCCAGCCCAGCTCCTACAAGCCCGTTGTGCTCACAGCACAGGGAACAGCTCCTCGGGAGGAGCTGGGACAGGGCCACAGCAGCAGGGTCCCACCTTGTCATGGCACCCGAGGGATGCTGTGTGCTGTGCACGGCTTCCCCCACCTCCACCCGGAGCTGAGCTGCACAGCACATCTCTCAAAACCTTTATTGTCAGCAAATAACAAAAGTCAGCCCTGCCGCAGCGCAGGGAGCCTGGCGAGAGCAGGGTGCTGGCACCCAGGGCTCGCTGCCCGGCGGGTCCTGCCCCAGCCCCCTCCCTGCTCTCCTGGGCAGCAGCAGGGCTGAGCGTGCACGGGGGGACGGGTGAGAGGGGGTACGTGTCATTCTCCAAAGCGAGGAGCACATTTACAACTGATTATAAATAAACAACAACAATGAGAAACCTCCAGCCCTGGGAAGCAGGGGGGGTCCTGCTGCCCAGGCCACCAGCCCAATGCGCTCTGTCCTCCAAAGGTGGGGAGAGGAGAGCCCCCTCCACCAGGGCTGCAGCTGCCAGGTGCCCCCTGGCACAGGCTGTGCCTCCAGGAGGATCAGGCTGGGGGGCACCAACCTAAACCAGCCCACAGAGCAGGCTGGGGCACCTGCCTGGGTGCACCTACAGGGATTCAAAGACAGGGATGGAGGGAGCTGCCAGACCTAACAGTGGACAGGGCCAGCTGTGGGACCCAGGGACAGTGAGAGCCAAGGCATAGAACCTGGGAAGGGCCAGGGGAAGGGCAGTGCTGCCAGGTGTCACACATCTCCAGCAGCTGGTGAGAAAGAGGGCTGGGCACCCCCACCCCAACCCCAAGCACTGAGGGACAGCCTGGAGCACCCTCCCACGGTGGGATTCCTGCCACCACCTTCCTCCATCCTCAGCCCTTTGGGTGCCACCTGCCATCCCTTGCCCACAGGGACATCACCACACCTGCCCTGCTGCCTCCCACACTCGGGGGGCTGGTGGGAGGGCTGGGGAGGGCAGAGCGCATTGGGAACCACCAGAGATACCTTCTACCTTAGCCTTAAAACACTGAAGCTTATATTAGAGACCATGATAATAACCCAGGGGCAGAGCTGTCCTGCCCAGAGTAGAGCCAGCAGAGAGGGCACAGCTCCGTGGCCAGCCTGGTGAGGGTCTGCTCGGGCTGGAGCAGGAGGTTAGTACAGGAGGGGCACAGAGCGGGCAGGTGGGCAGGGACGCTGCTTAGGGCTGGTTCTTCGCCTCAGGGTCTTTGTCGTAGATGTAGCTTCCCACAGCTCCGGTGTTGACACCTGCACAGGGCAAGAAACAGGAGGGTGAGGACACAGGTGGGAAGGTGGCATGCTCCAGGAGGTTCCCTCTGACCATTGACAGTGGCAGCCCACGCAGGGCACGTGCCCCTGGTCTGGGTCTCTCCCTTGTGCTCCCAGGCTCTCACTCACCCTTTGGGCCGAAGAGGATCCCGTAGCAGGGCTTGTGGCAGTACGGCTGTCCATCGTGCTGTGCGGAGCAGAGAGAAAAACCTGTCACCAGGGCTGGGGGCCAGGGAAAATCCAGTCTCCAGGGCGTGTCCACCTGGCTGGACACCTCTCTTGCTCTTCCCCTGCAGACACCTCAACAACCCCAGCACTTCCTCAGGCTGCGGGGCTGCTCCTCCCAGGCCTGCCCTCCAGCAAAGGCAGTGGGTGCCATCAGGATGGCCTGGGTCATCTCAGCCATGCCCCGCTGGCATCCCCTGGCAGGCCAGGGTTCTGAGGCTGGCACCCCCTTACCTCGGCGTGTCCCCCTGGGGTCAGCGTCTTGCTGCAGCGCTCACAGCGTAGGCAGGGACGGTGCCAGTCCTTCCCCAGTGAAGTCACCTTCTCAGCTGGAGGACAAGGAGGGAGGGTCACACCAGCCCCCTGCAATATGCTGAGGGGGAGCATTCCCCATGGGGGTATCACAAAATCCCAGCAGAGCCCTCAGGATCTCCAGCCTCCCACATCCTTCCCACCCCTCTGGTGCCTCGAGGATGACAGGGGATGGCTGAGGACAGCTATTACCACATGGGAGGTGACACAGCAGGGGATACAATGCGGATAAAGCCCTTTGCCCAGGAGTATATCCAAGAGGACCCATCCCTGAAGGCCCCTCAGGCACATCCCTCTGTACCCACAACCCCTTCTCTGATCCAAACCCCACTCTCAGCCTCTCTGCATGCCCCAGGGTTCCTGCACAGAGCCCAGCCCCATGGGCTCATGCCACCCTGCAGGGCCATGCCTCCCTGAGGTACGCACACACTGCCCACTTGCCACCTTACCAAAGTAGACCCTCTTGCCACAGCGTGGGCACATGTTGGGCTCCCCGGTGAAGGTGGTGACACTGGAGGCTGGAAGAGAAGAGGACACGTGCCGGGGAAGTGGAGGGACATCTCAGCCAGGACACACCGGGGTGGGGTGGACCCCACACACAAACCCTGCAGCACACACCGTCACCAAACACAGTGGCTCTGCACTGGCTGCCCAGCATGGCAAAGGGCCAGGCTGCCTGTCCTGCCCTGCCCCTCACCTTTGCTGGGTCCCTTGGGAGGTGCAGCATTCACCTTCCTCTCCTCCACCTTCACCGGGTGCTCGATGGGTCCTGGAGCAGTCTGCCCCTCGATCTGCGGCTTGTCATAGATGTAGGAGCCGGCCCCGCCGATGTTCACCCCTGCAGAGGGGCACAGAGAGGCTGCGGTGGCCTGGGAGCCCTCGGGGTCTCCATCCTCCCCCCAGCCCCCTGTCCCTCCTCCCCCAGCCCTGCTGAGTCAGGGGCCACTGCTGCACTTCAGCCCTGGTTTGCTTTATCCTGACTCAAGCTTTCTCCAGCCACATCTGGGATAGGAGACTAACTCCACCTTCTGTTTGAACGGGAATTTGGTTTTTTAAATTAAAAAAAAATAATAATAAAAAAGGGCAGCTGTCAGAATAGATTCCTTTCTCCCTCCCTCCCTCCTTCCTTCCCTCCAGCAGCTCTTCTCTCCCTCTGCACAAGCAGACAGCAGGCCTGGGACTGCAATTTGCTGGTTTGATGCTCAGCCCATGCTAGCCTGGCTTCTGGGATGTTGGGGGGCCACCAGTGAGGATGAGGGGACCCGGCCCCTCCTGCAGCCCCAAGCACAGCACCACAGGCAGCGGGGACACGGACATACCTTTGGGGCCGAACAGTGTGGCATAACAGGGCTTGTGGCAGAAGGGCTTCCCATCGTGCTGGGGAGAGAGGGCAGTGTTAGGATGCTGAGCGGTGGCCACGGTTCCCTCGGCAGCACCTTCATCCTCTGGCGTTCAGAGACCACCGTGGCTGTGCCGGCACCCTAAAGTGCACCCGGTTTTGGGTCTGCAGCAGCAGCCTAACCCAGCCTGAGCACTCGGGGGTTAGGCCTGCATCAAGCACTCAGGCTGCTGGGCACAGGTCGTGCCCTGGGGCTGGAGCACCAGTGGCCACAGCCAGCAAGGCATGGCTTCACCCCTCAGCACGCTGTGCACAGCCAGGCCACTCGCAGTGCTCAGAGCACCGTGGGAGCTCAGCTTCGCCTTTCCCTCACCTTGGCCCAAGATCAGAGGCCCTGCACGGGCTCTGGTCCAGCCCAGCTGCTATCGACCCCACTATCGTCTGGGGTGATTATCACAGGAAGGCAGGAGACAGGCGATAAGCCCCAGAACTCCCCGTTTCTCATGGGCCAGCTGGAACCCAGTCCAAGAGAAAAGAAAGAGTGTTTGTGGCTGGAGCAGGGGCCCAGGAGGGCTGCCACACACACTGCCCGGGGTAGAAAACCCACTGGGAGCCCGTGCTCAGGCAGGATCCCACCCATCCCATCGTCTGCTCAGCCCCACTCAGCACCTCAGCCCTGCTCCTGCCCTGTGCTCCTGCCCTCCATCCCTCTGCTGCAAGGCAAGGACTCCTCGCCCACGAAGGGCAGGCAGGGTGGCAGCTGAGCAGAGGTGCCGTGCCAAAAGCGAGGGCTGGCACAGCCAGAGGTAAGGCTGAGGGAGGGAGGGAGGGGAGGGAGAAGGTTCTGGACTGGCCAAAGGCAGCTGCAAAATATTGCAAGGCATAAATATGAGCGTGCTCACAGTGTTGCCATGCCAGAGGGGAGAGTAAACATTTAACTGGTCTCCCCGCGACACCTTTCCAACCTAGCCTCCTCAAAAGGAGGGAGAAAAAGCAGGGAAGGGCCAAATCTGCTGTCGGCAGAGTCAGTGGGGCTTGGCTGCCATCCCCTATGGGAACAGAATCCAACCTTATATGGAGAAGCAGCAAATCTTCTGGGCTTAACCCGGTCTGTAGCTCAGATCCACCTCACTGGCAGGACAGGCCCCACTTCCCCACGGGCTGGGGGCCACCAGCACGGCTGTCCCTGCCTGTGCCCAGCTGTGCTGCCTGCTAGAGCCAAGCTAAGGAGCTGGTGACACTGTGGAATGACAGGTGCTGTGCAACCCTGGGGCACCGCATGTCACGTAGGGACACAGCACAGGAGAAATGCAGTTGCTCCTAAGCCTGAGCAGCTGCAACCAGCAGCACGGCGCCTTCACACTCCCAAGTGCAGGGAGTGGCAGTGGCACCACACTCCAGCAAAAGCTCCGAGCACCGAGAGCACCGGTGCCGAGCTCTCGCTGCCGTGGCAACCCCGGCATTCCCTGTTTTGGATGGTTTTAGCCACAGGTCAGTGCAGGCTCTCAGCACACACAAAGCCTGGGCATTGCCCAAACAAGTCTGCCCCGTGAATGGAGCTTCAAGTGCTTACTGGGGCATGCCAAGCCCCACCACAGCTGCCTGGGAGCTCAGGGTGACAGAGCAGGGTCACCACACGTGGTGCCAGCACCACTCTGTGGCTTGCCCAGGGCTGTGCACAAGAGCAGCCTGAGTTGCAGCAGCAGCGTTCGAAGCCACAGTGTGTTCTCCTGGGCTCGCATGCTGCAGGGACAGCGCCTCCACATGGCATCAGATATCTGCCCCAGCCCTGGCTTTGGGATTTTATCCCACCACGGCTCCCACCCTGCCCGCCCTGGCAGCTCTTACCTCAGCGTGCCCACCCGGGGTCAGGGTCTTGTTGCAGCGCTCACACTTCAGGCAGAACTTGTGCCAATCCTTGCCCAGGGAAGACACCTTCTCAGCTGCAGGGGACATGAGAGAGGGGTGAGCCACTGCCCAGCACCCGCTAAAGCCCCAGGGGAACCAGGCTGTGGGAACCAGGGGGGGCTGCACCCGAGAGGGGCTGCACTCACTCAAGAGGGGCTGCTCACACTGTGCACATCAGCCACACTGCAGGAAACAGGAGCCACTGTGCTGCAGCCCCCAGGACCCTGCAGCCCCATGGGACGTGGGCACAAACCCCCCCAGTCTCTGTATTAAGAAGATTAACCCTGTCCCAGCTGGAAGCAGGACACCACCCAGCTGCCGTCCCACAGCCGCGCTTTCCCACGCACCAGTCCAGCAACGGTAGCATTTTCTTTCCTACTCCCCGTGTCTATTTTTACCCACCACATTACCCGGGATGACTTCACTCCCATTCAAATATTTGGCGTTTCCATGCCCACCCCACCCTTGCAGTCACACTCCCCCCACGCACACTCAGCCTCTCCCCGGGGAGCCTCAGCCGCAGCTCCAGAGATGCTCCCAGGAGGAGAGGATGGCAGACAGCCTCCACTGCCACACAGGATGGACATGTGGCCTGGAAAACACCTGTCCCTCTTGCCCCCACCCAGGAACAGGCACCACGTGCAGATGGGTGCACGGCCACCGTCCTTGCATGGCCACAAGCCTGCAGAGCAACTCACTGCCAGCGCTGAAAACAGTGTCAAAACACCAGCGGACAAATTCAGGGAAGGCAAATGCTTTGAGATTGGTTGTATGAATACAAATACAATCCTTCCATCTGGCCCTGAGCTGTAGGTCTCCAGGAGCACCCTGGGAGGCAGCACAGGCTGCCAGTGCTTCTCTTCCATCCCCAGCCTTGCACCATCCCTTCTCCCTCCCAGCTCCTGGGCGGCCGCGGGCTGCCTTGTGCCCCCCACGGATTCCTGCTGGCCCTCCCTCTGCCCTGCACATGTGCAGAGACAGCTGGAAAACAATGTGAGCCCGTCAAAGCCACCATAAAACCAAATCAGGAGAGCCAAATAAAATATTTAACAAGCAAATAAAGTGCAACCAGAGCTGGCTGCACTCCATGAGAAGACCTCCTCCGCGATGTTGGGTTTCCCCCTGAGGACCTCAGCAAATGTCACCTGTTTCTATCCAGTCGAGATGGGGGTCCAGAGCTCCCCAAAGGGCAGGTCCTGGCTTCTAGAGCCACCCTCCTCCCAAGGCAAACAGCTGCATCCGGGGCACGTCACAAGGCCAAGATAAGCTGCAACAATGCCATCATCACCCAGAAATTCCATCCCAGTGCAAAGCCGGTGGTGGGAGGGAGGGGCAGTGTGATGGGGCAGAGCCAGAGCCATTGTACCAGGGTGCACAGGGAACTCCCGAGAGCACCCCTAGGCAAGCACACGGGAGATGGACTTTGGGGACTTGCATCAGTTGGAAGAAACTCCAAATCCACCTCCAGACACGCAGGTTGTTTAACCAAACCCAGGCAGGAGCAGACCGCATGGTGAAGGGATGCCCCACCAGAGTCTGGGATACGGCCTGCCTACCCAAACTTGCCAGGGCTAATCCCTGCTGGCTCCAAGCCCAGGGGCTCAGGAGGGCCCGAGCCTCCCCAGCCCTTCACAGAAGGTAGCACATGAGGAAGAAGCGAGAGCTGCCCTCCTTTTCCTCTGTAGCCTTCATCTGCCACTGGGAGCGGAGAACCAGCTGCAGGGTGAATAGCCCCCAGGCCCCCCAGACCCCAAGGATTCTCCAAAACTAGGGGAATACAGCGGTCCCAGCATCCCACTGCCCTGGGGCCATTGCAGGAGCTCGGCATCCTCCCAGCCCTCCCTCCAGGACGGTTCCTCCCCGGGGTGACCAGGGAGGGAAACGCAGCGTGATGGGCTGAAAGCCGAGCCAGGGGCTCGGGGCCAAAGAACCACTCGGCTTTGTCACAGTGGATGCACACACGGCCAGCCCAGCGCCGCCACGGCCACGGGTACAAAGCAAGGAAGAAGCTCCCAGCAGATGTTTTCCAGAGGCTATGGCAATTATAGCTGGCCACAGCCCCCACCAGCTCCTTCCTGCTCCCACGATACAAAACGCTCCCCCAGTGAATGACCCCACCCCAAAAATAATATTTCAGCAGATGGAGTATTTCAGCCAGACCCTGGCTCCTCCCTGCCAGATGCATCCCTGAGCCACGCAGAGCAAGAGGGATCTCGGGGCACGCACTGCCCGTGGCAGGGGATGGGGCGGGAGGGATGGGGTGGCCCGGAGCACCGGGACAGCCCGGGAACCACGGGGGCTGCCCTCGCCTCCAGATGGAAATGCCGCCCAGAGGGCGGTCGGGCATCCTCTGCCTGCAAACAAGGATTCCCGGGGGATGCATCCGGGATGGCTTTCCAGAAGGCATTGTTTGCAGCGAGCAGAGGAAACCGCTTGGAGCCACCCCGGCCCATTTCCAGGGCAGCGGCCTGCGGCCACACCATCCCATAAATCAGTGCAAAGGGAAGGGACCAGCGCCCAGATTTCCTGTCACTCAGCCACAGCTGCTGTGCTGTTGCATCAGCTCCAGAGAAAAGGCTCTGGCCACATCCTGCTGCTGCCGGGGGAGCCCCGCTCCTCACCCCACAGCCCCGGGGCTCACCCAGCATTGGCCGTGCGGGAGCAGCCGGGCAGTGCGGGCTCGGAGCGGGGCTCAGCACAGTGCAGACGTGTCACTGCAGCCGGCTCTGCCACCAAAGGCCGTGCCCCGTGCCCTCCCGGCGTGGACATCGCCCACACACATCCTGCTCTGGCCCCCGAATTGCCCCTCACAGCCCAGTTTAAACCAGCTGGGCAGCACCCCTGGAAGGGCAGGGTTAAGGGTGCTTCACTGCAGGAATTTGGCCTCTGCCACATGTGTGTGGCTCAGGGGTTTGCCAGCCCTGTGTGTGTGGGCACGGATGATAAACCTCTCCCCAGAGGAAACAGCCCCGAGGAAAGGATGAGGCACAGTCGGGGACACGTCTGGCTGCAGGACATAGCTGTGGGTGGGTTTGCTCTGTGCAGGGGATGCAGCCCACGCTGCCGAGGGACACCAGAGGCCAGGAGCAGGCAAGCAGCCGAGGGGGTGCCAAGGCAGATTGATCCCATGGCTCCACAGCAGCCCCGCCCCAGAGACAACGCGGCTCAGCCCGTAATTACCCGCCGTGCCCAGACAGAGCAGCTGGCACAGGCCAGAGGTGGGCGCATCTTCTCGGGATGGGAAGAGAGCATCCCTCCTCCCAGTTTCTGTGCCGCCGGCCGCACCGAGCCAGCCCCAGGCCCTCGTACAGGTATTTCCACAGCCTGACGTCAGTGCTGCTCCCAGGCAGAGGCTTATTCAGCAGAGGAACCATAACTGCAGCTGCGTCTCTGCAAAGGGCTGTGCCTCATCCGTCCTACCACAGCCCTGACAGGGCACGGGGAAGGACTGACAAAGCCCAGTCTGGCAGTAAGGATGCCAAATCCCCACAGGGATCCTGAGACAGGCATCCATGGCAGAGAGGGATGCTGTCAGACTGATTGTAGATTCACTTCAGAGTAGTTACAGACACAAAGGAATGAAGAAAGAAAAGTGCAAGGAGAAGGAGCCTGGTAAACGGCTGGAAGCAAAGCCAAGAGCCATGAGCCAGCAGCCTCGTCTCCTCCCCAGTTCCTCACAAAGTGGCCAAGAGATGGAAAAGGTGGAAGGAGAGGTTGAGGATTTCCTGCCCTTGCCATGCCGGCCATATCCCAGCACGCTGCCCTGCCCAGCATCTGCACTGCCTTCCCATGCCCCTCAGCCCATCCCCAGCCCTGCCCTCCTCAGGCACAGCTCCTCTCCCCCATCCCACAGTCGCTGCTGACGCTTACACCGCACCCTGATTTGTGGCCAAACATATATATTTAGCTCTCCTGCAGCAAGGCAAGGGAAGGCAGCCCTCCAGCTTGCTGGGCTCCCTCCAAGTGTGCAACAAAGCCAGCTCAGTACGGCCTTGCTGCAGAGCGCAGCCGCGAGGAACAGGGAATATCCTGGGGGGCTCCCACTTCCAGCCAAGGGGAGGGACAAGGTCTTCCCTGGGGTCCAAGCACCCAGGTGCAAGAGAAGGTTGTTCAACTTCCAGCCACAGCACTGGAAATGCTCGAACCAAATGTTCGATTTGGTGCACAGCACTGCTCCCATCCAGGCTGCTGCTCCCTGCCTCTCCTCTGACACAGCCTCACCTACTGCAGGCACTTCCCTGGCCAGGAGCCTCCAGTCTCCTGCTCCGGTGGGCAGGGCAGCCTCCAGCAAGTCCCTCACCATTTTCCACAGAGCTTCATCAAGCAGCATGTGAATGGGATGCGTTTGAGGTTGGGCAGCTTGGCTGTGTCTGTGCTGGGAGAGGATCAGTGGTGTTTCCAGCCAGGCACTGGGTCCAGCTAGGGCCGAGCCCAAGGAATCTGCTGCTTTCCATACAGCCCAGCATGTGAGGCATGGCAGGCAGGACCCCGGGGGGGGGGCAGGGGATGCAGCCCACACTGCCAAGGACATCACCATAAAAATCAGAGGCCCACCTGCAGCCCTCCCTTCGCCCACCACACAACCAGGGGCAGAGCGGCCACTGAGAGCCCGGCACAGGCAGACACACACCAAACCATTCCCTGGTTGGTTCAGAGCACAGTGTTCCTTCCTTCTGCACATGGAGATGTCATCTCTGGCAGGCAGTGCTGGGAGAATAAGACAGTTTCCTGGCCCGTTTCAGCAAGAGCAGGATTCTGGGACATGCTGGAGCAGCCCAGCTTGTCAAAGCGCCCTTCCTGTCCCATGGCTCCTCACCTCCCCACCCTGCTGGCCCCCCATAGCTCCAAGCAGGGTTTGGCCCAGGGCTGAGGATGCTCAGGGGCTGCAGCACTGGGGTTCCCCATGGTGGGACAGCTCTCCTCATCCTCATTCCAGGACCCATCTCACACCACCTGGCAGCATCAGGGCCCTTGGCAATGTGTACCACCACAACCAGAAGTGGCACCACGGCTCATGCTCCAGGCTCTGTGTTTGATTGCAACACTGCCATGACAGATTTTCCATTATTCCATTACTTCTTGCTTGGGTGTTCCTGCTCCGCCTTTCCCTCCCTTTCTTTTCCAGTCCCATCACCTCATCTCTCCCCATCCCCTGGCAGGGACTGGAGGGAGGATGGGAACATGAGGATCTGTCTGCCTAGAAGGTGGGACACGGGTGCAGGACTCTATAATCCAGACACCAAACTGAGTCACCCAGGACCAGCCCTGGGTTTGCAGAGGGCTGTCTGCCAGCTCCAGGCCTCCAGCACCCACGGCCCCAGGAGCAGCACCACTCCCCACTGCTGGCAATGCCAGCACCACACTGCCAGGAGACCCAGGACACAAGAGCAAGGAGACCCAGCCCTCAAACCACCCTGTTCCGCACTCCCACAAACTATTTTCTGCAGCCCGTGCTTTGTTCCTGAGGTAAAAACTAATGCTCATCAGCCCATTATTCTTCAGCTTCCCCCAGAGGCGTCCCTCCCATCGGCAGGGCTCTGCGCGGGGAGCAGGGAAGTGGAGCATCCTTAGTTACCATTCTGCAAGGTCCACTCACCCTCCCAGACCTGGGAGGAGGCACTTCCCAAGGAGCCCAGCCCGCTCCGTGCCCACGAAGAGCCGCTTCCTTTGTTAGGGAGGGCTGTAATGGAAATCCAGCCCTCCTGCCGCTCCTGCCCCACGTCTCCCTGCCTGGAGCCCAGCACAGCAGTTACTCATTAATTGCAGAGTGCCTTCTGCAGCTTGAATTTCGCCGGGCGGCCCCGGCGGTGCCGTGCCCTGCAGGGAGAGCACCCCACACCTGGCTGCACCCCGTGTCCCCCTGCGCCCCTGCGTGCCCGTGGGCTCAGGCATCTGCTGCAGGCCCCTGGCAGCAGCTGGGCTTGGGCCTTCCTCGCTTCCCAGCTGGATGTGTCCCTGTCTTCAGCCCCCCTCTGGAATTCCACCAGCAAACCAACGCTGGAGAGCAGCTTTAAGCCTGGGGGGCTACTGAGTGACTCGCACCTGCTTTCCTGACGCCCCTTTCCAAACAAACAGAGCAGCAGCCTCTCGCCAGCCCTCGTGCAGCCAGCTCCCCAAAAGCAGGCGTGCTTGCTGCATCCCTGGGGCTTGTGCCTGCCTCGTGCTTGGGATGGGAAAACAGGAAATCCCCTGCTGCCGCAATCCCCCGCTGCTCTGGGAAGAAAGGATGGGAGGCGGAAAGGCTTGGCCAGGGCTCCCGGTGACCCTGCAAAACTCATTTAAGGCTTAGCAACGTGCAAGGGAGGTGGGGAAGTGCGTGATTCTTTGGCTGCGGGAGACTTTAGTCCTTCCAGAGCTTCCTGCCCGAAGTGATAGCCCAAAGCCAGCCCCGAGCCCAGCCCGCTGCCACCTGCCAGCGCGGGACGGGAGCTGGGCCCCCACCCGCCGGCTGCTCCTCCAGTCAAACATTTACTTCATCCAGCCAACCTCCCAAAGCAGGAAAGTTAGCCCCAACCGTTCCTGGAAACAATGTCACAGACCTCAACCGCCTTTCAAAAAAAAAAAAAAGGAAAAAAAAAGCCAAAAAACTATTTTTAAATTTCCCTGTGCTTTTTAAAGGAAAAAAGCTCATTCTGTAGCTCAGGAAACGCCCACATCCTCCTGACTGCGCAGGGAGGAGCCCATTGGATTTTTCCAGGGAGCATGAAGCAACAGGCATGCTGGAAATGAGTTTTCCATCGGTGCCCAGGAGTGCCGGCGCTGGGCAGCCGCTCCTGGTTGCGCGGGGCCGGGAATGGGAACCGGCGGCATTTCTCACACATAACCCACGGCTGAAATCCCGGGCATTCGGGCAGCCCGAGCTGCCAGCGCTCATTCAGCACAGCCCCGGCGGCTCCCGAACAAGCGGGGCTTTATCAATCACCTCCCCGCTAAGCTTCGGACCGGCCCAGGAATTCAGGAGCGACACCAAAACCCCGGACGTGGAGCTCCCATCGCCTTCCCACCGAACCACAGGGCCCACCGGGATCCGCATCCCGGAAAGACGGCTCAGAATTTGCATGGAGCTGTTATGCATTGAATAAACGGACTCAGGTTTATTCTTCCAGAGCCTGGGCGGTTCCTCAAGGAAAAGCTCAAGGCATCAACAGGAACATGCTGCAGCCTATCTCAGCTCTAAGCACAGAGAAGTTTTTTGCTCCTGTTTCAGCTCACCACCTCCTCTCCCCAAGTCTCTCTCAGGGGCAGCAGTGGCAGTGTTCCCTGCGGGAAGGTGCGGGATGGGGGCTGGCACTGCCAGGCACCTGCCTCCAGGGTAGGGAGGGGGAGCCGCAGAGCAGCAGGGACCGGGACAGGGACTACTGCACGTACAGAAACCCTCCCGGAGAGAGAGCAGCTGGGGCAGGGGGTACAGCCCTGTTCCCCCCCAGACCACATCCTCAGAAGACCCACAAGTCCCCCTGGACATGGGGGGAGAAAAAGAGCACGGAGACTGCTGTGGGTTGGTGCTTCTTCTCCTGGCACAGCCTGGCCTCCTGCGGCAAGGCAGGGGTCTCTGAGCCCAGCCCAGCCCTCACCCCCCACGCAGGGCGGGCTCATCCCTGGAGCGAGAGGAGCTCTGCCCCCGGGTCAGTGCCCAGCTGGCTGGGGAGGCACTATTTTCTGCTTAAAAAGGAAAAGATTCATACAAAGAAAGACATCCAAGGGGCCAAGCCCTTCCCACCCACACACAAATAGGTTTGTTTAAAGGAGGAAGACAGCAAATTTCTATTTTCCCGTGTTTACTTGGAGATGGCCGGAAAAGAATGAAAGCACCAATGCCTCCAATGTTCAAACATCATCAGGACCCTTTGGTATTTCTCCACCAAGCAAACACACTGAGGCAACAGGGGCTGGACCCCGGAGCAGCGGGGGGAGATGGGCAGGGAGGGCTGTAGGGAGGCAGCGCCAGGCCAGCTGGACCCTGTGGTCAGCAGGGCCCCGGGGGCCGCTCGGGCTGGAGTTCTGGATCCATCCCTGAGCCATCCCGAGCTCACGGTGCAGGCCCAAGGGCGCTCACCCAGGGGGTCAGGTCAGTGCCAGGAAGGCTGCGGGCTGGGCAGCTCCTCCGGGAGCGTCACAGGGGCACCAAGGCCGAGGATCAGCCGCTGCTCCAGCTCCCTGCGAGCCGGGCAGCGGCGCTCAGCCCGCGCTGCCTGACAGGAGACACGCCAGCCCCGCTTCCCAGAGATCCTGACCAGCCACAACCCCAAGCAGGGCCCTCGGAGAGCTGCAGGGACTTGCTGCTGCCCTAACCCAGCCCAGGCGTGCTGAGTTCTGGATCTCCGAGCCCAGGAGCTGCCTTTGAAGAAGTCCCGTAGAAACCCCAAAGCCTTGCCCAGCTGGGAACAGCCCTCAGGGGGCTGGCTGCGAGGCGAGACGGGGAGGGGTGAATGGCACACCTGGGGCCAGGTTTGCAGGGAATCAAAGAAACCGGCTGCGAGAAGGTTTTGTTTGCACCTGCCACTGCCAACTTCCCCGCCCCAAGAGATCCCCTGAACCACGGGAACCCCATCCCAGTACCGGCCGTGTGGAGTGGGCTGCGTTCCCCTGACCCCAAACCAGCAGTACCCGGGGACAGGAGCCACCTCACTTTCAGTACCCCAGGTGCGGGCACACACCCCAGCCAGGGCTCCTCACCGCCTGCTTCCCCCTCAGCCCAGCAAGCCCGGGATCGCCCACACCGGCTGTGTCGCCTGCCCCAGGGCCAGCCGGCAGAGCCCTCGGCACAGCCCCGGAATGCCGAGCGGAGGGGCCGCGGCCACGCCGGGGGCGCCGCGGGGAGAAGGAGCCGCTGCCGGGCGGGGCTCCGGTGACCCCGAGGCAGCTGCGGCGGGGCGGACACCGGGGCGATGCATCCCGGCGGGACAAAAGGGGATGCGCCGGGGCTCAGGGAAGGGGAAGGCAGGGATGAGCGCCAGTTGTGGGCTGGGGGACCGGTTTGAGGTCCCGGGGATGCGTCTCGGCGCGGGAAGGGGATGCGGGGCCGGGCCCCGCGGATGCGCTCACCGAAGTACACGGTCTTGTCGCACTTGGGGCACTTGGATGCCATGGCGGGAGAGCGGAGCCGAGCCGAGCCGTGCAGTGCCGAGCCGTGCTGTGATGTGCCGCGCCGTGCGCCCCGCTCCGCCCGGCCCCCGCCCACCGCCGCCCGGGGGGAGCCGGGGCGGGGCTGCCGCCGAGCGGGGCCGGCTCGGTACGGCTCGGTACGGCTCGGTACGGCCCGGCTCCAGCCCGGCGCAGCAGGTGCCCGGTCCCTGCGGCGGAGAGACCACTCCCTGCCCTGTCTCCCATCCCCAAAGACCAAAGTCGGGACAGGAGCGCTCCCGACTTCTCTTGCCTGGGAAAAAAAACTCCATAATAAACAGGTTGTAGATGAGCGACGCGACTTGTGGGTTTTTACCGGCCCCAAAGAACCACGGGCCGGGAGCCTCCCCGGCTGAGTCCGTCCAGCAGCCGCCCCCGGGACATGAGTGGGGGGTGGCGGTCCCGGGCAGCCGCCGCAGAGGGGCTCGGGCATCTCCCATCCCCCTCGGGAGCGCGCAGCCCGTCCCCGCTCCAGCGCCCGCATCCCGCGGCTCCCGGCGCCATTCCGCTCCGTTGCCATGGAAACTCCCATCTCCAAAACCCCTCCGGCTGCAAAGGGATGCTCAGGGAGCCGTGAAGCCGCGGCGAGGATACCCGAGGAATCAGGATGCCGTGGCGGGGCAGGGGAGCCCCTCTGTGCCCCGCGGCGGGGCTGTGGTGGGCGCAGGGGCGGGGGGTGGCAGGGGTGGTGCCAGGGGCGCTGCCGTGTTGGTAAACAGGACATCTGCCGCGCCGCCAGCGCATCCCTGCATTATTCATCAGCCGGCAGCCTGGCCCTGCTCCGCCGCCATTGTCACAGAATTCCTTTCTCTGCCGGCAGCTGGTGCAGCTGCCAAGGGCCCGCCCGGCCCCGGCGCACGGGCAGCCTTGGGAAGGGAACCCGGGGCTCCGGGATGGGACAGGGTGACCCTGCCGGCGAGTACGAGGGGCCGGGGATGCGCGGCTGCGGGTTTCTCCACAGCCCGTGCACCCTGCTGGGTTGGAAGGCCCAGGCATCCCTGTCACTCCTCGGCCAGCTGCTGTCACAACAATGTGTGGCTTTGTGGCCGGCGGGGTCCCTGCGCGGGGGCAGGTGGCAGCACTGCCTCCGGGGCCCCGCACGGCCCCGGGAGGGGCTCAGCCCTGCCTGTCCCACCGTGGAGCCAGTGTGTCCCAGCCCAAGCCTGCAGGCACCGGGACAGGGCAGGAGTTGGGCTCTGTGGAGCTTTTGATTTCCAGAAGAGCAGCTGCCTGCTCCAGCATAGTCCCACAGCGCTCCTGTGGGTCCCTCTGTGGTACCTGGTGTGGCTGCAGCCCTAAAACACCCCACGGCAGCAGGCAGGTGCCAGCACAGCATCCCCGTGCCTGCAGCAGTCTCATGCACTGAGGGGACAGAGTGAAAAAGGTCTCCTGTCTAAATCCTCCATGTTTCACATTCTGAGGCAGCCTCAGCTGGTGTCCCAGCCCTGGGGGCTGAAGGGTGCAAGCAAAGGAGGAAGAAGGCTGCATTCACCCTGTGGCCTGTTTGGGGAGGCTAGAGGAGAAAGCCTGAGCTCTGCCACACTGCAGAACCAGCACCCAGAAGGTGCTGGCCAAAGGATTTTCACACATAGAGGCTGCAGGGAATTAAGACAAATCACCTAAAGGTGTGAATCCCTGCCTGCAAATGCGCTAAATCCCAAGCGGATATGCTGGTTCAGGAGCAAAGTGGCTTTAGCTGGTCGTGTCTTAATCTTCCCCGATTTAGGCTCGGCATGCTCCTGCACGGAGGGCAGGGATGTCCCGGTGCCTCGGGGACAGGTGACTCGGGCTGCACAGGCTGAGCGAGCAGGGCTGGCCGAGCTTCTGTGGGGACAGCAGGGCCAGCGCCGGGCAGGGGACAGCGTGCTGCAGGGGGACACAGGAGGCGGGCAGGGGGCTGGTGGCACGTGAGGGACACCCCTGACCCCGCTGTGCCTCTCCCCAGACAGCACACGAATCATTTTCACCAAAGGATGCATTTTCCGTCAGAAATTGGAGGGCCCCATCCCTGCCCGAGGCCTGAGCTGGAGTTTCCCTGGCAGCGGCTGACAAAGCCGCCTTTCAGCGGCCAGGGGAGGTCTCTGGCACGGGCCGTGCCCCCTGCAGCAGTGCCCGGAGGTGTCCCAACCGAGGGGGCCGTGTCCCCAGCGCTGGCACCGGTGGCGGGAGGTGACCCATTTTCCTCCGATGGCGCCGGCCCCGCGGCATCTCTGGGCTATGAGGGCAGCAGCTTCCCGGCCGGCACATCCCCTGGGGCACTGCCCGGGAATCCGCAATTCCCCGCTCCGGGGCTGTGAGGGGCCTTTCCTCCCCAGTTTCCCCCGCAATAAAGCAGGACTTTAGCCCAGCACTTCCCTTGGGGAGCTGCGGGGAGTGGAGCATGGCCACATCCCTGCAGCGCCCGCTCTGCGGCTGGAGCTGCCCCCGAAGCTGAGATCAGAGCGGAGCTGGTGCCCGCAGCCCTTCCCCGGGGCAGCAGCTGCCCAGGGCCCGGCAGGGCTGTGGGGCAGGGGGTGTGTGCTGGGCTGGCCCCGGCCCTGGCCCTGGAGCGGGGATCCTCCACCGGGAGCCCGCAAAAGGCACGAGGCTGGGACCTCTGCCCAGGGCAGGACAACCAGAGAGCTTTGCGCAGAGATGAAGGGAAAGTGAGGAATAAATAAGGAATAACTCCCTCCAGGCTGCCTCTCCTTTGGCTCACCTCTCTCCCCCTCCCCGTGCCGACTCCCCTCAGCTCTTTTTTCTTCATTCAGATAAAAATACCACAAAAACTCATGGACCCAGACGGAGCTGTTCCTAAGGGGAGCTGGGGCTGGAAAGCCTTCCTCTGCTTTCATGTTTTCTGGCACCTAGGACCCCTTGGATTTGTTAGAGGGCAAGAAGAGGTTGCGGGGGAAAAGAATAAAAGAGGTTACGGGAAAAACCCCTGCTGCTGGTTTGGTGTGCCCAAAGATCAGTGATCCCTGTGTGGCCTGCAGACCCTTGGCTGGTGCACCATGTGCAGCCACATGCCCAGGGCCCTCTGTGCCTCATGACAAGGTCACCCCAGGGTGACACGCTGCAGCTTTTTCTTTTTTTCCACCCCTGAAACTCCTGTGTCCCAGATAGCCCACAGCCAGGGGCTGGTGGTTGAGTGGCCCATGGCAAGTAACAGCCACTGCCCACGGACCACCCCAGCTGTAACCAGTTTTGCCTCAGATCCTTGGGGTAGGCAGGAGTTTAATGGAAAAAGTGATTGGGCTTCTCTTCATTGGCTGGGAGCAGTTCCCTGTGATGGGATACGACAGAAAGAGCCTTTCACAAAACCTGGCAAAACACTTCTTTTCTTATTTCACTTATTCTCCACAGCCCTTCTGGATGTGCAATGCTTGCCAGTGTGGATCTGGCTGCCCTACACGGTGAGCTGGGGCAGCATGGAAGGGCGAGCAGGGCAGCACCCTGCCTGGAACAGGAGAATTGTGTCCCCCAAAATGAGGAGCCCGGGGCTGGCTGGGGTGGGGAACAGCCCACACACCCAGCCTTGCTGCCAAAGGGCGGCCGCAGTGTCGGTGCACAGCTCGGGAAGGGAGCACAGGGACTTAGAAAGGATTAGCAGGAGATAGGGAAGCTGGAGGAGCAGAGGACGGATGTACCAAGGGCTGGCAGGGTCTGGGGCTCGTCAGGCAGCACATGCCACCGACCAGGGCTCGTCAGGCGGCACATGCCACCGACCAGGGCTCAGCACATCAGCGCCTGCCCCGGCCCCGCAGCTCCAACCATCCACTTGTCGCTCCTCTCCTTTAAAAGGCATCCGAGCCCCTGCTGGTATCAGGCAGGGCCGATAGCGCTGTCACGCCGGCGATAAGCAGGTTTACAGGTTTTGTCCTTGCCATCTGGAATGGATGTCCCCATTGTCCCCGTGCCTGCTTCCCGAGGGGACCCCAGCAGGCTGCACGCAGACGCTGAGGATGCAGACACTTGGTGTGAACCCCGTGGGGCAGGCGTGATCCCTCCGTGCAGTGGGGATCAACCAAAGGCAGGAAAGCAGCTGGAGAGACTGAGCACAGCTCTCAAAGCCCATCAGAGCCATGGTGGGACTGCAGAGAGTGGCCAGGCTGGCACCTGTGGCTCTCCCCCGGGTTTTCCAGGGAAACAAAGGGTGTCCCAAGGAACGGGCTGTACTCAGACCCAGGCTGCAGTGGCGAAGTTCAGCTCAGGGCAATTGGTCATTAAAGCCCTCCCAGTGCCACGGGCCCCCCTGGGCGTGTTATGGCCAAAGGTCGGGCTGGCCATGGCGCAATGTGGCTCTGAGGGCCAGCACAGCAGCAGGAGCAGCGTGCCCAATGGCTGCTCAGGTTTCACGTGTCTGCACACCACCTCCAGGACACTCTCAGCCCCTGGGGTAGGGAAGGGACTGGACACACATAACCCAGCACCTCATGAGTGCTGCAATGTCCACAGGCACCATCTTCTCTTTCTCCATCAGCATCACCCACCCTCTAGGATGCATTTGGCCTCTGTTCCCACCAGACATGGGCATCTTCCTGGCACGCAGGGAAACCCAGCTTGGCTCCTCACCCACAGGCTCCACGTGTTCACCTCCCTCCTGTCCTGTTTGGGGGCAGCCAGAGCACAGGCAGGGGGAACAAACTAACTCTTGCTCAGATGGAAAATCTCTGAAGGAGCGCAACTTGGCTAAAACCCTCCAGCCAGAACCTGTAAATCTGCTCCTTGTGACGCTGCCAGCATCCCACGGAGCACTGGATCCAGGTGGAGAGTCCCCTTGCAGGAGGGAAGGGAGGAAGCTGTCTGCAGAAAGATGCTGAATTTATGTTACTCATTCTCATTCCAGGAATGTGGTGAATGAACTTGCAAAGCTCAGGGCAGGAATCAAGTGTGCTTCAACCCTGACCTGCCCTGACTTTCTTCCAGGCTGAAGAAGAGGTGGAGACAAGCCCCAGCCCCATAACCCATCTGAATTTACTGTGTGTCTTTTCTTGAGGCAGCTTTCCTCTCCTGCACGGGTGAAATGTGATTGCCAGAGACTGAGTCTTCACCAGGTTTTGAAGCTGCTCAAGCAGAGCAAAACTCTTCTGTCAGTCCCCAGGGAGGGAAGC